CCCCCCCACTCTCAATATAAATGTAACTTTACAATGTAACTATCCCATGGAATGGTAGATAAGTTCCTTGACCAGTCTACAGGAAGTTTTGAAGTCTCGTTTTTGTTTTACATTATTTTGCTGATCGAGTGTTTTGCTAACCACTTTTAGTTAAATACAATTTCTACGTTTTTCTCAGAGTTTAATTTCTAAATGTCATAATATCGGTCCTTTCACACACACACTATCTCCTTGAATCTAGTTTCCTGTGTTAACAGCTACTCAAGGCAGAGCTCATACGTTTAGTATTCAGTAACAGACTGAAGTAGTAACACGATGACTGGTTCACGAAAACCTGGTGTAGTAACATGATTACTGGTTTACGAAAACCTGATGCAGTAGTATGATAACTGGTTCCCGAAAAACTGATGTAGTAGCGTGATCACTAGTTCCCTAAAACCTGATGTAATAACATGATCATTAGTTCACGAAAACCTGGTGTAGTAGCGTGATCACGAGTTCCCTAAAACCTGATGTAATAACATGATCATTAGTTCACGAAAACCTGGTGTAGTAGCAATATGATTACTTGACGAAGGCCCAAAGTAGTAATGTTTTAGCGAATGACGATAGTATGAAATCTTGTTACAGTCTATAGATGATCAAGGGTTTGAAGATGTAACAAACTTGCCTGAATAAAGAATCCCTAACTTGTAATCACAAGTAAAGATGTGAAAGGCTGGAAAGAAGTGGATACTTAGCTATGCACTCCACTGAATGTTCTATTTGTTTTAACATACCTAACTGTTACTGCAGGCTATAAACTGGTCGAACACCGAGTTCAGCTAATAATTTTCGGTGTGGAAAGAGAGAATTACTTAAGAACTTTTCTTTCAACGGAATAAAATCATGTGTATTTTCTTTTTTAAAAAAACTATGAAAATTTGCGCTTTAAAAAAGAAGCATTTAACAGTTTTAAAAAAATTCATGATATTTCGATATATCAAAATTATTACCGTTAAAAAGAAAAGCTTCCTTTCTCTCCAAACACAAAAAAGATAACTTTTTGTATATTCAAAATTGAAAACAGAACGAAATAAGGAAAATATTAAAATACTGATCGTTTCGAAGAGAAAAATGAAAAATATCAATGCGCGCATGCGTATTTTTATCAATGACAGCCGTCAATAAATATTCGCGTTTTTCGTAGAACTTTGTCTTTCGTAAGACTGTTTGTTTGTTATGGATTTCGCGCAAAGCTGCACGAGGGCTATCTGCGTTAGTGTAAGACTAGAGGGAAGGCAGCTAGTCATCACCACCCATGGCTAAAATGGCGAGCATATTTGGTGGAACGTGGATTCGAACCCGCGACCAGCAGATTGCGAGTCGAGCACCCTAACCACATGGCCCTTTCGTAAGAATAGAAAAGTCAAACCCATAAAATGATGGGTTAGTTGCAACCATTATTCACAACAGAACAGGACAAAAAATTAATTTGTTTTTTAATGGTAAATACAGAGAAAACTGTGTTTTAAAATTATACCTTACTCAATGCTGTATCTATTGTATAGTTACGTCAGGGCGATTGTACAAAGATGATTTTACCGTACGTTAGAATATTTCAGAAACATTACATTTATTTTTTAAAATTTCGGATATACGTGAATCACTTTTCAAACCTCGTAAAAGCTTACCCATCATATTTAGGGTTAATGTCACATATGCGAGCTGAAATGCGTTCCCTTTCTTGAAGGGTCTTTTCTGTGAACCATGGACTTTGAATATCTATTTGTTTATACGATTTCCCGCAACGCTACTCAAGGGATCTCTGCGCTAGTCGTCCATAATTTTAAAGTGACAAACTAGAGAAAAGTCAGGTAGTCAAAAGCACCCCCCCCTTACACACACAAACACACACCAATTCTTGAGCTACCGAATAATGAGGTTTGACAGTCACCCTTTTAACGCACCATCAGCTCCAAAATGTGGAGGGAAATTATTATTTGTTTAGTCTTTTCGGTAACGAGTGATAGACAATTAGATCACAGATTGACACGCTGACCAGAAACTCGTTTACAGATTTAGAAATTAATTTTCTAATTACAGGGTTTCTTGGTAGCGCTAAAGAAAAAGTTCAACACAAACCATGAGATAAAGATCTACTGGTCGTCACTTTGATTTACAATTATATAATATTGGTTCAGTACAGACTTACAATGTAATTACTTGTATCGAACTGATATGCAACTAACAACTTTGCTAGAAAGAATATGTTTGGGTGGGGAGAACGAATATTTGATCACTTTGGATCAGCCAATGATCTCCTCGTCTTAATCAGTAAGACTTCTGGGAAACGAACTAGTGGCTAACTTTCATAAACAAACTTAGTACTAACACTCCGAATTAATTGTAAACAATTATGATGATATCATAGCCATGCCAAATCAACCCATCACCAGACGTTACTACTCAAAGTAGTACCACCTAAGAAACACAACCTTACAGTTCTGTTACGGAAAAGATGCCGCACGGTGGCAGCACGTGAGTTAAAAAACAAACCGTGGCAGTAATTTAGTTTGAAGGAAGAGAAAACAAGTTTTTAGGTTTGTCTGCTCTTCCCAACTGGGGTGTTCGGGATCGTTTGTTCCCCTTCACACCCCGTGCGTGAATATTATTTCTTTTAGTGAATTTTAATTTATCCCTTAGTTTTCGTTCTAATTTACGAATTGTGGTGGCGTCGGGAAACCGTGAAGAAAGTCGGAGAAGACCGAAGCAGCATCGGTTGAGTCGGAAAGATCGGTTAAGTTGTTAGAGCAGGAACGAATGAGCAGGAAGATCCATATGTGCTATGGCTATAAAATGCATGTTTGGTTGGAACATTTTGATTTACACATATATGCGTATTCTCAAACGTAAAAAAGGGTTGAGATGTTACATGACATCTAACTTAAGACCAAATATGAATACATACACTTTAAACGTTTCGCCAGTTTTAATACACGTTCTTATTAGTTTCCTTTTTTTATCAAATCTTTGCAGCAAGACGCAGCATGACTTTTCTTTTAATCAGTACAAGTTTGTATACATCTTTCTTTTACCCAACGTAGCATGAAGCAGCGCGAACTTCTCTTCAAGTGATCTATTCTGGCAGGTGTTAATTTGTGTACTTGTCCAGAAGTTTGTTTGTTTTGTAATTAAGCACAAAGCTACACAATGGGCTATCTGTGCTCTGCCCACCACGGGTATCGAAACCCGGATTCTAGCGTTCTAAGTCCGCAGACATGCCGCTGTGCCACTGTGGGGCACCTGTCTAGTAGAACGAGAAAGCTTTATGTGCTTGCAAGTTCATAGGTTAAATTTAAACATCTATTCATAACAAACCTTCGAAGGTTTTCCTACAACAATGTCTAGATCTTAGTTGGAAATGTGTAGAATGAATGACAGGCAGGCTGCGTGGGACAAAACGTCTTTAGTATCTGTTGAAGCTGCAAAGGAGAATGTCATCAGAGTTCGTTTTGCAATAACTAAAATTTAAAATCTCATCCAAATCCTCCCCTTCTTCTTCTTCTTTACTGTTTCTAGCTAACCAATCACCTGCCCTGTATTTTTTCCCTTTTGTGTTCAATATCAAGCAGTAAGAAGGAAGTTTCGCTTCATTGGCGGAAATATTTTAATAATGTACAAGATTCGTTCAGTCAGCTGTCGTGTGCAACGCCCACTGGTTTCTAGACCATATAAAGAGGGAAACATTTCACTATGTGTAAGTATTAAAGTGTCTGAACGAGTATAAGCGTACATTTAAATGAGCGAACATCTGCCCCTGAAGAAGAAAGGTTCGGGTTATAGGGTTTTTATCATTTTATATTAAGACTTCTTGAACCTACGTGTTTTACTGACATCATTAAAATTATAAAAATATTGCAGGTTCTTAATTTGTGGAATTCGTTAACCCTAAACCTTAACCTTTCAGTTCAAAGTTAATATTCACCTTAATTTTAACAACAAATGAACGAATACAGATTACCTGTACTATGGCTGTAGGATTTCTATTCCCGAAGTACTGTACAATATAATGAAACTACATAAACTTCAGTTTGTCTTTCTGAAAATATTTTCTCAAAAGTACAAAATGTTAAAATGCTGCGCAAAAGAGCATAATTTTTCCTAGCACGTCAGAAAAAAATAAACTATAAACATGGTCCGAGTGCGGTCCAGTTGTTAGTGCGACGAACTGCGCATCTTTGATCGTGGGTGCGTTTTAAGAATGACCGTGAAATCCCACTATGCGATTAGAGTAGCCTAAACGTTCGCAGTGGGTGACGTTGACCAGCTTCCTTCCCTCTAGTCTAACTTCAAATTTAGGGATGACTAACGCAGATAAACCTACTCGGTAGCTTTGCGTGAAATTAAACAAGGAAAATTTAAACATTTCGCCAACACTTTAAAATATTAGGTAAGTTTCTGAACGAAAGTTAGTGCCCTAATTTCGTTGTATATTTCTCTCTATTCAGCAATCCAGGGATAGACTTGGCATTAGACTACCAGCTGAAGAACAATGCGCCGACAGATCACAGAAGACGACCGGGACTTCGCCTCTTCTGTCGTGGCAGCAGCTTTCACCATTACCATAACCTGTCTCTCTCTACTAGGTAATATTACCGTTATCGTTGTAGCAAGAACAGACAGTGAACTAAAACTTCATGTAAGTTCTAATCTTTTCGTAAATACAAACAAACAAAAACTGTATAGGTCTCTCTTTGTAGTTTGCTTATTTGCTAAGTTCAAAATTTTCGTCCAAAGTTACGCTTCAAAATTAAGGCCTGTAAATCGGTTTAATAAAATCTCGCCATTAGGAGCGGCCTGGCCATAACAGCGATGCAATCACAGGACTGGTCCAACAGTTTTAATCACAGGCTGGACTATTTACACATATTGAAAATAAAGTTGTTAGTTGCTTTGGTATAATGTTCAATCCCTTTGAAAATCGTTTTAAAATCTATCCAACTAGTATCACTTCACTTGTTTGTGTACTTTTTATTGCAGCATTTATTTTGTTTTAGATACTTCTTATAGCAATTCTACGAATAACCAACAATCCCTACTTTCCGTTAAACTTTTAATTTATTTTTCCTGTTTATTTGTTCAGTTTTTATATGTCCATGGAATGGACACAACATATATAAAGTTTTAGTATAGCCATAAACCTGGTAGCTATAACTTTTACGAGAATTAAAATCACAATCACAAATTTATAAAATTTAATCCTTACTTTGGCTTACAGATAAGTGTAAAACCGCCATAATAGGAATTAAATCTTATAAATTTGTGACTGTGGTTTTAATTCTTGTTTCACAACTTTTTGTAGTAAGATCCCTACTTCATTTTAAAATTCATAATTTTTAATACTCCTGTTTCTATACTTTTTATATTACTCCTGTATAAAGTATATACTTTACCTTTAGAAACTGTCGCATGTTTGGTTCAAAAAATATTTAAGTACGTATATGATATGTATTCCATTTATATTATACCTGTGTGTACACACACACACACACACACACACACATATATATATATATATATATATATATATATATTTCATGTCATTAGCAACTTAGACTACT